ATCCCCCGATTTGGTGTCCCAGCCTCCCTTCAAGCAGACAATGGTCCTGGATTTACTTCCCAGACTTCTCAAATTCTAAGACCCTAGACATCCCCTGGCATTTTCACATTCCCTATCACTCTCAATCTTCAGGTAATGTAGAAGGAACTAACCACTCTTTAAAAACTACTCTTGTCAATCTGTCACAGAAACTTCATTTTGACTGGGTAAAACTCTTACCTCTGGCTCTTTTCAGGCTATGAGCTCCCCCCAAGCGACCTCTCCTCATCTCACCTTTTGAACTCATGTATGGGTGTCTAGTTCTAACTCCTGGCCTCTCACCTAAATGTTCCCCCCTCCCAGACCATCTGGTTACCCCATTACTTTGCCACCTCCATTCTCTCTTACGGAACTTTGTTGACCACCATCTACCTCGACCACACAATGTCTCCTGTCCACTGCCTGTGAACATTGGAGACCAAGTCCTTCTTTCCCCTCCAGATCATTGGCCCTCACCCCTGTCTCTCAAATGGCAGGGCCCTTTTAAGATAATTCTTGTGACCCCTACAGATGCTAAACTTGAAGGAGTCTCACATTGGGTCCACCTGTCTCACTTCAAGTCTTTCATCCCTCCACTTAAAATCAACTCTTCTTCATACACATTGACCCTAACAGGACTGTGCTCTATTAAGTTCCAGAGGACATTGAGACCACCCACTTTGTCCTCAATCCCAGAAAATGAGACTCCACTCTGGCAGCCAAGCTCGGCCTCACTGGACTAGACATGGGTTTCTCATCTTCCCCCTTCTGCTTGTTTCCATCCAGGTCAGCCCTTACATCTGGAGATTCAAGGTTCAAGAGACTCCCACAGATAACAAACAGTCTTTCCAAACAGGGTCAGGAAACTGCTCCTAGCCAGATGCCAAAAACCAATCCAAATTGCTGTCATTCCTATATCTGTTATCCCATCCAAATATTATGTTTTCTGTACTTGCTTTCTTTTTGGCCAGATAGAAGATTATTGTAGAAAATGGCCAAAAGATTATGAGGGTTGCCCATATTGGTCTTTTCAGATACATATGCTAGGATCATGGGCCAACCATATCTTCTACCAACACCGCAAGATACTCTTTTCTACATAAAAGACCCATGGGATTCCAACTGTGGTGCTTCAGAACCACAGACAACAGATGTACTGACAGCTAAGGAAGATGGTCTTCGTTCGTTCCTCCAAGAAGAATGTTGCTTTTAGGGAATGTGAGACCTCCAGTTCTGAGATTTTTAAAAACCCCATATAAAAGTAGATACTCTCGTTTGTAACACCCTTTCTAGTTATCCTCCTGGTGTTATTATTTTTAACCAAACTATTAATCAGTTCCTGTTACAGGATTACCAGCCGCTGTTCACAGAGGAACCTGATGCACACATCTACCAAGTGGATCCTGATGGTGAAAGCCAGCTACACCCCAAAATGGAATATGCCCCTACAAAGCAGGAAGTAGTTTAAGAGATGCAGTGCCCCGACTCCTCTTTCACCATCGGCTTCCCCTCCCCTTTTATCTTCTCTTTATTATAAGAAAAAAGGGAGGTATGTTGGTATCAGGCTCCGAACCCAGTGACATCACATCTAGGTGACCCCCACATCATTGCCAAGGCAACCGACATATATGCCTAGAATCCACTGGTTACCTCCCACCTTTACCTGGGAGAGGCTATGTCACCACCCATATAAAACAGGCAGAATCCCCCTCAATCTCTTCTTCTTCTTCTTCTTCTTCTTCTTCTTCTTCTTCTTCTTCTTC